AGGCTTAGTCTAAATCCTTCCTGTATTCAATGTGCTGTCTGAGGAGGGAGAGAAGGCGTGGCGTACCGTTGAGTCTTTGAACATCGTGTTATAGTCTCATCCTCCAGAAGCGATCTGCTCTGGACTCACTGGTCGGCTGCGCGAGGAAGTGGGAGATGGGGGCGGCGGCGCTTCTCTTGCTGAGCTGCCCGAGATCTTCAGGGCACTTGAGTGAGGACTGGGTTTGCTTGGGAGCAGCAGGAAGAGGAAAAAAGCAGGAATCATCAATGGAGGTACCACAGCAGTCGGTGGTACACAGCTTCGTTGACAGATGAGAGGCTATTTAGGTGGTACCCAGGCCAGCGCTAGGAGATAAACAGTGTCTCCTTCCCAGTGGCTTCTACATTTAACTAGTAACCTAACATCAGCCCTAGGCCACCCTATTAAACACACCCATGGGCTGATGACAAGAGCCAGGTGGAACAACGAACCTTGAGCGCCCTAGTACAGTGCCAGGCTGCCTGGCACCCAGCAGGCACATAATACATGCCTTTCTCTCACTGACATCCACCACACAAGTACGTAATCTACAGCAATGATCATTTTGTAGAGCTCAATAAATGTTTGCTTGTTGAATGAATAATGGATTCAACATCTAACTAAATCTTCTATAAGCAGTATTCACACACAGAGTCCCCGGGTTGAGAGGTTCTGTGGAATTCTACTTCTCACATAATCTAAGGTGGAGTGGGAAGGAGGATTAGCATCAGGCGTTCATTTTCCAGGCATCCTGAAGACTCATGAGCTGTGACAGGTAGGGCTGCCCAAGTCCCTACTATCCCAGTGAAGAATTAGAGAAGCGCCATTCATCTACTAGGTTGGCTGATAAGGAGATGGAAGTGCTGGCTCAGAAGTCTCCGGGAGACGAGCAGTGAAGTGCTCGAGCTTGATTCAAACCTAGCTGGGTTGAATCTGGCTGTGTGACCTTGAGGCAATGAGCTTCCTTCTCTGAGCTGGTGTCCCTATTTATAAAAGGAGATAAACTGAGTGTCTCAGCCCTGCTGGTGGCTGAGAAGACTCTGCGCTCAGTGTGGAAGCCCTTGTTCAGACAGAGCTGACCAAGGCTCACATGGCGCTTTCGGCAAATCGCTGTTCTTACATAAATCGTTGATTTCTTCCGCCTAGGTCCACTTTGGAGAAATTCCATCACCCAAGGCCTTCTAAGTCAGTGATGACAGGCTAATTTCAATGAATCATTTCCCAACGATGGTAAGTAACAAACGCCCCACTAGGGGTGGTGGGAGGAGGAGTAGTATTTGCAGAGCTACTTCCCAAACCAGCTGCAGTGCTGTCTTGGTGGAAGGGACTGTGAGCACCAGGCTGAAAGGGAAAGACGAAGTCAGAGAGTACCTGCTGCACCTAGAGGGAGGCTCGCTTCCTCGGCCACTTAACAGAGCAGGTTTCAGACTCTCTCCAAAATGGATAAGTCACCACAACCAGAGGGGCTGGCTTGGAGGAGGAAGATGGTGCCACCCTTGCATCACCCTGGTACAGACACCTGGGTCCTTAGTGCCTGCCTCCGCCTCCCCTTCAGCCTCCCAAACCGTCCTACAGACCTAAATCGTGGCGGCACCATACACCCATAAACCTCAGTATCCCACAGGAGACCCAAATCGTATTGGGCATCACACATAAACATCAGTATGTTTGATAGCGTTAGTCACTCCCATGGTCACTTGGATTTTGTAATTTGCAAAATGGGCAGACCAGTTTGCTTCTGGGGTTATTAACATGTGCACTACAGACTGATGGTCAACACTCAGTGACTGTTGTTTATCATGGGCTCAAGAAGGAACCACTTAGTGTTCCTAGCAGAAGCTCACGATGCAGTGACATGGTGCTAGTGTGTAAGGCATAGCAAGATCTCAGTACATGTCTGTTAGTGAATAACTGAATATATCTTAGCAATCTGATGACTTTAGGGAGGTGGGCATGGCCATGGTCCTTAGTTATATAATGGGGTTCCCCCAATGGGTTTGAACTTGTGTCTTTCTTTGTCTCTGCCCTGATCTGAAGTGCAACAGAGAGACCTTAGCCATACATTGAGTGAATCCTTTGAAATACCCTAAATTTAGGAAGCCCTTTTTCTAAAGCAGTGAGTGTAATTTCCTCTATCTGGGAAATGTGGGTAGTCATGCCCAAGTGTGCTTAGGTGGGAGGCTTTACTGCCAGGAGAGGAGCCCCTTTCAGATTTATGAGCGTTCATTCCAACAGTGACAGTAACCCTATTGTCATGAGAGAGACAACGCATCACCCCTAGGTTTCAAGGTTGAAAAGGAAGACCTGCCTGACCCCTGAAGTGGGGCTCCGGAAGCCGAGGGACGGGGTTGCGGTTGGAAGGTGCTGGGGCAGGGGGCCGTTTGAACTGCTACGCTGGGCATGTGACTTGTCTAACATTGGCAGGACCTGAAAGAGCTGAGTGCTGGGAGGCTGTCCCTAGGACCTCCATGAAAGGTGCCCATGCCTGAGGAAGTTTGCTGTCCTGGAAGACCACTACAGAAGGTTGGATCCCCGGTACCAGGGACAGATTTCTACCAGCAGACCTCGTGAGCGTTCAGCAGAATCATTCTGAGCAAACTCCAGAGCATGTGCCCGGAACTATAAACCTCAGGAGTGACTTCCAGGGTTAAGTGGTCAGACTCCCCCTGCTTACCTGGCAGGTGAGGACTTGCGTCAGTTTTAATTTGAACACATGCAATTGTATTTAGGCTGTGGAGCTGATGGTCTGGTTACAGTGGATAAGGAGTTGGGCTCAGAGAGTAAGACATTTGCCCCAAGACCTTACAGCAGGCATAGGAGCAGGTCCAAGATACAGCCAGCAAGTGAGTCCACTTCTGAGAGCGGTGCCTTCTCTACTCTGCTCCAAGGCTCCCTGGCATGGATCCTACACCTGGTGGTAATTCACAGAGAGAGGCTGATTTCATTTTAGGAAGAAGTGCTGCTGGCTGTAGGCGCCGATGAAGTGTCCTCTTTCAGGAGCAAACATCAAGTCGGCAGCCTCATCGTCGAACAGATTCAGAGTCAGTAAATAATCCGCTAGTACTCGCTCGTCCCTAAACAGTCATACTGGTCTGGCGAGGTGGGCTCCATTCAGGTGGTTTTTGAAACATTTGGCGTGGTTATTTTTTAACGTGCAGGACTCGGTGGCTGCAAGGAATGAAGAGAACAGGTTATGAAGAATATTTCCAGAGAATGGGATTTCAAGTGAAGGATGCTGCAAACCATACAGCTTAGTACCTTTATAAGCCAAGAGTAACCACAGACAGGAACATCCCAGCAGAAGACCCTCTTTGGAAACAGCACAAGATGTGCCACAGTGAGGAGTGCTGTTAAGACGTACCTACAACACCTGGCCGGGTGGGACTGGGAAGAGTCAGTCCTGTGCCAATCAAGACCCTCGCCCCTGCACTGTCTGGATAGAGCTACTTATCACAGTTATGGATCCTTGCAAGGGAGCAAGTGACAGAGGCTGGATATATATAATTATCTTACACACTGGATTTCCTATACCTCACACACTGGATTTCCAATGCTTTGATGAAAAAAAAGAATGCAAACTGCCTCGTTAATAACAACATTTTTCTATGTGTGTTTGCATGTGGAAATGACAGTATTTTGGATCCTTGGTTCTGATAAAATACATCCTTAAATTTAATTTCACTTGTTTCTTTTTATTCTTTTGTTATAGCTACCAGGACATTTTACATTACATATATGTCTTACATTTGACTCATTTTTAATTCTTTTTATTTATAATTGATACATAGTAATTACACATGTTTCTGTGAAATTTAGAGGGTGTTTCAATACATGTATATATTGCATAAGGATCAAATCATCTATTTCTGCTGGGCAGTGCTGATATGATCAAATTGTTAACTCAGCAGTTACCCATGGAAGAGAGCAGGTGGTAGGATCTGCGTTATTTCATTCACTCATTCATTCAGTCATTTAATAAAAATATACTGAACATTTACTATGTACTTAAGAAATTGGGGCTAAAAAATGTATCATCAATCCTCTCCAAAATCCTATGAGTATTATCTATAACTGCCACAATCCTACAAGTTAGGGTTGGTGACATGGTTTGTGATTTGTGTGCCCCATATAAATCTCATGTCGGGTGGAGGAGCCTGGTGGGGAGAAGTGATTGGATCATGGAGGCGGATGTCCTCCTTGCTGTTCTCATGGTAGTAGTGAGCTCTCACAAGATCTGATGGTTTAAGAAAATGTGTGTGTGCCCCTTCTCTCTCTCCTGCTGCCATGTAGGACGTGCCTTGCTTCCCCTTCACCTTCCGCCATGATTGTGGTTTCTGAGGCTTCCCCAGCCCTGCAGAACTGTGAGTCAATTAAACCTCTTTCCTTTATAAATTACCCAGTCTCAGAGTAGTTCTGTATAGCAGTGTGAAAACAGACTAATAATTGGCCTCGTGAACTTAAATATTCTTATTCACCTTGTTAAAGGTGAGGAAACTGAGGCACAGAGATGTAAATTAGCTTGCCCCAAGCAGCAGAACTGGGACTGAGCCCAGGCAGTCTGACTCCAGCGTCCAGATGCTGGCTCTCTCCCCTACTTCTGTCTTCTAGAAATCTCTTCCTATGATAATATGTCAGGTATCGCTTGGGTCATTGGAACCATGTAAGACAGAAATTTACAGACCATTCAAGTCATTAACAACCTCCTGCCCTGCCTCCACCCACGTATTAAAAATGATATCTAGCAACAGGCCTGGCAAAGCCTCCCGAGTCTGGAAACTCTTGCCTTGAAAGGACAGGTGGGCACCTGACAAGTGGGCCTCCTCTCAAGACCACCAGGCTGCTCATGGCAGAACTTCCCACAGGTGTGCTGGCATTTCACCGTGCTTTCTGTCAGCTCTGGGATGATTTCATTACTTGTCATATGGAGGATGTTAGGGTTGTAGGGTGGATTGAGGCAAATCCACACGGGATGAAGGTAATACCATCGAGAGACAGCAGGTGGCACCACTGTCCAAAGCTGGGAGTGCCATGCTCCTGGGGTGGCCAGAGGAGGGAAGCTGCGAGGCTGTCTCTGCGCGGGACAACAGGGAGCGCCCACCCAGGGTGCACCCAAGTCCACACTCCAGCTCCACTGGCCCGGGGTCAAACTGGGAATGGAGACCCGGAGGACGTGGGTTTCCAGACTCTCAGTCCAGTGCTCTTGCAGTAGTATTCTAGAGAGAAATTTAAGTAAGCTCATAACTAAACACATATTTCATGGAGTCGATGGGAAAAACAACGGGCACTGTAAAAAACCTTTGCTTTCCGGCTGGGTGTGATGGCTCACACCTGTAATCCCAGCACTTTGGGAGGCCGAGATGGGTGGACACAAGGTCAGGAGATGAAGACCATCCTGGCTAACATGGTGAAACTCCATCTCCACTAAAAATACAAAAAAAATTAGCCAGGCGTGGTGGTGGGCACCTGTAGTCCCAGCTACTTGTAAGGCTGAGGCAGGAGAATGGCGTGAACCCAGGAGGTGGAGCTTGCAGTGAGCTGACATTGCGCCACTGCACTCCAGTAACCTGAGTCAACCTGGCCAGACTCCTCTCAAAAACAAACAAAATAAAACAAAACAAAACAAAACAAACTAGCAAAAACCTTTGCTTTCCTTTTACTTTTCCCTTTATTCATTTCCAATTCTATCAACCCCCTCCCAACTTTAATATCGGTGATTTATCATTTTTATCACTGTGGTAAAATACAATTTGCCATTGGTCTTTGTCATCCTAGAAATTTCCATCACCCCAAAAAACCAGAGTACCCTTGAAGCAGTCAATCCCCATTCCTTTCCACCCCCAGAGCCTCCATCATTTTCTGTCTCTATGGTTTGCCTGTCTTGGATATTTCATATATCATTACCTTTTTGTTTTAGACAGGTGTCTCTGCTTTGTCACTCAGGCTGGAGTGAGTGCATTGGCGCGATCTTGGCTCACTGCAGCCTCCATCTCCTGGGCTCAAGTGATTCTCATGCTTTAGCCTCCTGAGCAGCTGGGATCACAGGTGCCCACCACCACACCCAGCTAATTTTTTTTTATTTTTAGTAGAGATGGGGTTTCACCATGTTGGCCAGGCTGGTCTTAAACTCCTGGCCTCAAGTGATCTGCCTTCCTGGGCTTCCCAAAGTGCTGGGATTACAGGCATGAGCCACTGCGGCTGGCCCGCCTCTTTTTGTTTGTTTTGTTAGACGGAGTCTTGTATCCCCCAGGCTGGAGTGCGATGGCACAATCTGGCTCACTGCCTTCCGCCTCCCAGGTTCAGTGATTCTCCTGCCTTAGCCTCCCGAGTAGCTGGGATTACAGGCGTATGCCACCACACCAAGCTAATTTTTGTATTTAGTAGAGACGGGATTTCACCGTGTTGCAATCTGGTCTCGAACTCTGAGCTCAGGCAATCCATTTACGCCTCGGCCTCCCAAAGTGCTGGGATTACAGGCGTAAGCCACCACACCTGGCCTAATCTTATTATTTTTTTGTACTTCCTAATTTCTTTTTTAAAACAAGAATGGGTTCCTCTTATAATTACAGATCGGAGGTTTTAGCAATATAGAAATCAGGAGGTGGGTGGGCTGCAGCAACTCCAGCCCAGATGCCCCCCGGCAGCCAGAATCACCGCCGCAGCGTCCTACCTCTCCCGGCTCTGGCGCTGCTCTGTCCACGTCCCTGCAGCTGTCGCTTCATGCAGTGTCAGCATCCTTAGGTTCAGTGGGCCGCCGGGAGAAACACTGCTTCAGCTGGTCCTGTAAAGACAAGCCAGATGTGAGATTTCTACCGGAAATGTACTTATAGAACCCCTGTCGGCTGACACACAAGTCAGATGCATGGCCCCTATTAAACCCATCCTAGCTCCCCACTACCCTTCTAAGTGGGGCCAGACATCTTGGCTGGGCACTAGGGTGATCAATCGTCCTGGTTTGCCCAAGATGTCTCTGGGATACAGGACTTTCAGTACTAAAAGTGGGCAAACTGGGATGATGGTCACCCTATGGCCACTGTGGGGCCCTGCAGGGTATCGCCTGGCCCCCCACCTCAGTGCTCCCGTCTCTCTCCTCACTCTAATTACAGCCTGGGCACACTTCTCTCATCTTCAGTGTTACCCAGAGTCATGAATCTGGCTAGGGGAACCTCTATGCACCCACCTGCCCTGGTTCCTACCACCACCGTGTTTCCCTCCGCATCACCGAACCTTACAAGATCTGTGCAGCACCAAACTCGGGACAGGCATTGGGCTGAGCTCTTGACATGAGATCACCTGGTTGAACTGCAACCCCTCAACAATCTCATGGGAGGTGGATCTTATTACAATCCCCATTTTTTATAGATGATAAAATTGAGGCTTAAAAACATGAAATTACATGTTTGGAGTCAAATAGCCAGTAAACAGCCGAGCAGTGGACTTCAACCCCAGAGTCCAAACCACTGCACATCAGGCAACATCAATCCCTTGGGCTGTTGCAACCTGGTCTGTTGCTGGTCTCGGCCCTCAGCCCCCAGGCCCTCAGAGGGGGCAGGCAGGGAGCAGAGGTGCTGATTAGCACAGAACTGACCACAGGGCCAAGCCTGGCACACGGTGGAAAGGCCATAAATCCCCATTAAACGACTGAACTATCTTCCTTCATTTGTCTGCTTCGCAAATTAAAAGCCCATTCCCTATGATGTAGCCATTGAAAGCTGCCCATGAGCTTATGCTTTGTTGGGTAAGAGGCAGCTGATGCAGTCAAGACAAAACCAAAGTAGAATCCTTAGATGGGCGGTGCTTGTCTGATGACTCGACAACATTTAGCTGCTGAGCTTTGAATGGCGCTCTCAATCGCCATCTTTTTGTTTGGTTTTGTTTTTTTGAGACAGGGTCTTACTCTGTCACCTAGGCTGCAGTACAGTGGTACAATCACAGCCCACTCCAGCCTTGGCCTCTGAGGCTCAAGCGATCCTCCTGCCTGAGACTCCCAAGTAGCTGGGAGCACAGGTATACATACACTACCACACCCACCTTTTTAAAAAAAAAAATTTTGTAGAGATGGGGTCTTGCCACATTGCCCAGGCCTGGTCTTAATCTCACTGGGCTCAAGGAAATCCTCCTGCCTTGGCCTCTGAAAGCATTGCAATTGGCGTGAGCCACCATGCCCGGCCCCAGTCACTATCTTTTGATGAGGAATTTGGAGATGGGGGTTAGGGCGTAAGACTGGTCCAGAAAGACAAACACGGCTCATTTTTACTCATACATTCCTGTTCCATTTGAGGCAGGAGGCACATTCTGCTGGAATATGCTTCAGATCATCTCCTGCTCAAATACCTTCCAGGGCTCCCTATTGTCCTCATGCTGGAAATCCAAGCTCCCGCAAGCAATCTCTAATCCCTCCACCCTACCTCCCGCTCCTTCCTCCTCCCACACGCTTTAGCTTGCTATATACTATCTCAGGATAGTAGCATCTTGGTATGTTTCTGCATCTGTCAGTCATACAACTGACTGCTGCGGCCTTGGTGATATCTCCTCCTAAACTTCTTTTTTTTTTGAGATGGAGTCGCTCTGTCTCCCAGGCTGGAAGTGCAGTGGCGCAATCTCAGCTCACCTGCAACCTCCGCCTCCCGGGTGCAAGTGATTTTCTTGCCTAGACCTCTGAGTAGCTGGGATTACAGTCACACACCACCATGCCTGGCCTAATTTGTTTGTATTTTAGTGAGTGGGGATTTCACCACATTAGCCAGGCTGGTCACGAACTCCTGACCTCAGGTGATCCGCCTGCCTCGGCCTCCCAAAGTGCTGGGATTCCAGGCGTGAGTCAACACCGTATACCCTGGATGACTTATCAATTCTGCAGACAGAAGTATGACACATAAGTTGTTTACGTGACAGATATTACTGAGCACCTACTATATACCGGAGCACGCCGGGGAACTGGGCGTGGGAGGTCACAGCACAGATGCAGAGCTCAGGATCCTGCAACTCATCAGATGTGCCCTTTAAGCCTGGGATGCTCCAATGTTTCTGTTCCTCTCTTGGAGCCTGCTGGCATGCAGTGGTGTGTAATCTAATGGAGGTGAGCTGATTGTTCCTCAGCAGTTTATCTTCCTCCCAGGCAGAGGCCAGCCTCTTCTCAGGTTATCTGGAACCACTGAACTGAAAGCATGTGTGTGTGGTCAGTGGTCCTGCAGAATGAGTAGGCGCCTGGGGAAAAGCCTGCTGTGTGGCCTCAGGGCTCTGGCTTCCCTCTCTCATAGTTACCTGAAGTTACAAGAAATTCAGTGAGAAAATAATGGTCACCCCCAGAGGGCACAGACACAATGTGACAGCTCCCCAGAACAGGGCGTAGCTCTCAGGAAATATCCCATAAATGGTCACCTCCTTCCCATTCTCTTTCTCTTGCCTGGAATACTCATGTTACGATGTTAGTAGGAATACTTGAAATGAGGGGTATACAAGGACGGGAATTCAGAATCCACATAAATCCACTCAGTCGCCCCTGCTAAATGTCTATACTCATAGACCGAATCACAGCTGCTGTCATCTTAATTCTACACCGTCTGTGAAGCTTTTCTGTCTCTAGTTACAACATAACACCTTACTAATTATTAAAACATTTTAGGAGTAACGGAAAATCACAAAGAATACATTTTTAAAGAAACTCATCATTCAAAGACAGTATCCTGTCATAGTCCTGCCCAGAATTCTCTCAGGATCCATTCACCTACATCACCATTTTTACTGGCTGAAAGAATATTTCACTTTTCAGATGCAGCCTCTTCCAATTAACCAGTCCCCGAGTGCTGGCATTTTTGCTTGCTGGATTTCTTCGCCACTACAATCAATAATATGACGAACATCCCTGAGGCTAAATCAACACATCTCACAGAGATTATTCCGTAAGAGAAATTCCTAGGTATAGTCACCAGGTCAAAGGGCTTTGGGATCGGATGAGCAAGCCAGCTTTGGAAGAGGCTGCCTGACCTCCAAGCCCACGGGCAGCACATGGGGATAGCTGCTAGCGCGCCGTAGGGATGCACAGCACATGGGGATAGCTGCTAGCGCGCCGTAGGGATGCACAGCACATGGGGATAGCTGCTAGCGCGCCGGCTGGGATGCACAGCACATGGGGATAGCTGCTAGCGCCGTGAGGATACTGGCACATGGGATAGCTGCTAGCGCGCTGTAGGGATGCAGCACATGGGGATAGCTGCTAGCGCTGTAGGGATGCAGTCAGGCCACTGCTGAGTGTTGCGTTTTTGCTTTGCAAGATCACTGATATACTCAGAGCTGCTTCCGTCAACAGAGAATATCTCCTGGGGCGCGGGGCTGGGAGCAGTCATCTGAGCCCGCTCAGCTCCTTACTGTTTTCAAAGATGTGATGGAACTGGCCTTTCCTTAACTTAATGCCCTTCGGAGGTCAGATTCAGAGCCCAATGCTGAGGAATTAGGGGTTGTTTCTGGTGGAGGACAAGACATCGTTGTCCCAAGCAGCTTGTTGTCCTGAGGCTACAAAGTGGATGCTGGGCTTGTGCCCGGGTGTGCAGGTGTGCTAAGCTCAGTAAGGGGGCAGAGGAGTGACAGCTTGGGGACAGCTTATAGCTAGGGGGCGGGGGATGCAGGGCAGGGCTGCGTCTCTGCTCTGCCCAGCTGTGCAGCCTGGCAAGTGACTCCACCCATCCAAGCCTCAGCTTTCACACTGGAAAAACAAGGACTGTTTTGAGGTATCAAGAGATAATCTCTGGTAAGTGTTAAGCTCACTGCCTGGCACAAATGGGTGCCCAGGAGATGGGAACCGTCATGATTGGAGCAATTTTCAGACCCTCTTTGGAGTCAGGCAGGGTAATGGAGCCTTGTAGGGTTCTTAAAATCTCTGAGAGAGGGGATCCCCTTCAGTGCTCGATGACGGAAGAAGGAGTCTGCAAGGCGCCCCAGAAACCAAAGGTCAAGTCCATTCTTGAGGGTGAAATCAGGGCAGGTGGCAGGGGGCAGTTTCCAGACCTCTTGTGGATGGCCCTGAGATAAATGGTGTCCAATCAAAACACGGTGGCTTCCTTTATACAACCAATCTCACATGCCCTCTCCACAGAGGTTTGATTCAGACTCGGGGATCTGAACTCTCCAAGAGTCGGGGATGGATGGAGTTTCCTCCCTCCCACCGCCCTAATGGCAGATTGCAGGGTCCTGAGGCTGATCTTGCCTCCTCTCTCTGCTCCTGCCACACTGCATCGATCCTCAGTCCTTCAAAGTCTCTTTCTGGAACATTCCTTCCAGCTGTGACCAGCTATCTGTTCACCCACTGCGGCAGCTTCAGGGGCTCCCCTGGCATGTCCTTAGCCCTGTATATTCTTCTCATTCTACTTTCCCAAAACTGAATATGTCCCCTGCCTCCAAAGCCCTTCCACAGCCCCACTCCCTCCCGGGTAAGGTTGGGGTTAGGGTTGGGTCATGGCCTCTTGGGACCTGCATGGGTGCGAGGCCTGGGTGGGCTCATAGCTCCTTCAGTGTTGCTTCCCTCCTCCCTACCCTTCCTCTCACTCCCCAGTCCTCACTGGCTCCTCCAGCCCCATTTCCCTCCTCTCACATTCCTCTCTCTCACCTCCAGACCTGTGGTAACCACCCACCTCCAAGCTATCATTCAGATTTCAACTTTGATGGCTCTTCCTCCAGGAAGCCTTCCCTGAACTTTCCCACCATCCTACCCTGAGGGCTGGCTCAGGAGAGCCCCAGAGCTCCATCATCCCCTGAGCCTCAGGTCTACATCTGTGCCATCTGATA